TGTCTCCATTATTGGACACAACATTTGAAATGCTAGCGTCATCAGTAAAAGAAGAAAAAGAAATTAAAGGAAGAAGGCTTGACAAGAAGGAAACAAATTTTCCTTTTTTTTTTTTTTTGTAATACAATAGTCCGATGGTTTATTTAGAGACTCTTAGAGGATCAATGAATAAACCAAATGAGACAATTCTTAACTTTGTTAAAGTAGAAGAATATAAAATAAATACACAAGAATCATCAGCACTTTAATAATTATTAACAAAAACCAATAGGAAAAGATAGGAAATAACTACAAAGTGAATAAAACATTCGAGATTTAAACTGCTAAAACACACATGGGACTAAGATTAGAAACAACTGCGAAACAACATTTATAGGCACAGAAAACACCTAAATAATCACAAAAGAATTACTCAGTGGTCATGACTGCAGCACCATAATAATAATAATAATAATAATAAAAAAGATGATACCGCTAGAATGAATATACTGATATAGCACTATATGAAACAAATTATCAGGGATATTTTATGGAATTAGACAAATCATAATGATCCAAATGGTGGAACAAAAGTTTAGACATTTCAAAGTAAATAATGGGAAGAAGTAACAGTGAAGGACGTGGTACTATAAGTTCTCAAATTTTGTTATAAAACGTTATTATCAAAACTATTTGATATTGAAAAATAGAAAAGTTGAAGAGTGGAATCCACCAGATGAACAAAACCTAGAAGCAAACTCATACAACAACATAATATTTTATAAAACCAAGAACACAGCAATTAGCGTAGGCCAGGAGCCTTTTTATTTGACAAGCAAGCGATGCTGGGAAATCTGAGTAGTTTGATGGAAATTAGGTTTACACCTATAAACTTGTTCACGCTGAAACGTAAATAACTGACAAGAGCTCAATGTGTTTTTCTTTTTTAGGTGAACTAGCATTTTAACAGACTAGAGATTTATGAACCAAAGAACTATCTCCTCATAGAACTGCAGGTCCAAAATGTGTTTTAGGGTGAGGATACCTTCCTGTTTCAACTTTTTGTGTGTGTTCTGGACACTTTGGGCAGTCTAGGGAAGCCTATGCACCCCTTCTCAGGATATTGCTTTTCAATATATAAAACGTGTAGAATTGTAAAGGAAACCAATGATAATTGAAATAAATTATCAAAATATATTTCAAATAAAAATAAATAAATAAATAAAATGAAGACCAAAAAAAAGGAAATTAGGTTTACATACCTATATGCCATATACCACAGTAAACTACAAACAGACGAATTATTTATGTCATATCATAAAGCAGATAGAAGAAAATGGAAAGTTATAACTTTCACAATTATGAATAGGAGAAGAATGCACTGATACCTAGTCCAGTGTGTTTTAGTATTTCTAAGGGCAGTGAATTGTAACTGAAAGCAATTGGTAGCTGGTGGGTGGTGTGACCATGTGACCTTCACAGGCACAGATGCATGCGCAAGCCAACACACACACACACACACACACACACACACACACACACACACACATACACAGAGACAATATCCTCTCTCTATAATCTCTTCTCTAGAAATGATTCCACAGTGCTTTATTAGAAGGAGGTTAGCCTGTCAATATGGGCAAAGAGCTATTGATTTCTAATGTTTAAGACTATGAACTTCTGTATTTGGGATATTGAAATGTTTGTGTTGTTGACTTCGCAATAAAAAACTAACTTTAAAAAGGAAGTATAATATTTCTTGAAGATGGTATAATTTCTATTACCAAAAAAAATTCAGTTGAGATAATGATTGGATATTTATAGAGATTAACTGCTAAGAGTATTATACAGTAACTACCAACTACCATGCTGCTTGCATGGTAGAAAAAATGCTGGGCTGGGAATCAAGAAGCCTGATTTCTAGTTCTGATTCTACTGCAAACCTGATGTATCATCTTGAGTGAGTTCCCTAAACTTTCTAGGCCTTGCTCTTTTAACAGTGAAAATAAGAGGATTGGGCTACATGACCTCTAGGCTTCCAATTTTAAAGTCTTCTGGTTCTAGTAAATATATAGGCAGGAAATGAAAAATTGGTAGCTAAGGAAGGATTTGTATTTTCTTTGTCCTGAAACAGTGTTTCAATCTCAGAAAGTCTGTCTGACATCAAAGAAATAGTTTAAAAGTACGCATGATTAAAATGATATGAACCCGTGTTAATTTCCTTATAGGTAGTTGTTTGCTTTCCCTAGTCACATTTTGTTATAAAGGAAATGGAACAACAATACTGCACTCCCGACTCTGTCATTGTTCCAGTTTCACTTAAGAATAAAGGGAGAACCATTAGTACCTTTTGGATTTGCTCCATCTTTGTAAGGAAATCCAAGATCTGTGAGTTCCCATTTGCGTGGAAAGATGAATCATTGTTCCTGTGGGTTTTTTTTTAATAGATGTATTCAGCAAACCCTACATGGGCCTTTTATAAACGAATTTGATTCTGGATATATCAAATACAAATTTTATTCTAATTTAGGCATAGCATCTTCTGATAGTCACCCTTCCACCTGTTAGTAGGCATGTGAACTGCTTGACTAGGCAGTATGTAAAGATATGGTAGAAATAAAAGAAATGGCCTCAACAATTAAAAGAAATAAGTGAAATCAAAGGGGAAAAATGATTGTTATGAATGGAGTGTGTTTGGAGGCAACATGGCAAGTAGAGAAAGAATTGACCTTGAAATCAAGAAGTGGGTGCAAGCCTGACATGTTAGCAGTGTGACCATGACGAGGTCACTCACCACCAACGCTGCAGGCAACTCTCTAAGATTAAGTTGCAAATAAATCTGAATCAGTGGAAGAAGTTTCCATACTGAGAATTTGCTTCACTGAATGAAAACCATAGGTATGGACTGATCAGTGGTTGAATGAATGAATGAATAAATAAATAAACATATAAATCTGGATCATGTATAAGTCTATACAATATCTAACAGTGTTTCTCAAAGGGGCTTTTTTTCTGCATGCACATGAACGTGCAATTGCAAGTGTAAATTCCATATAATTATTTACTGGCACACATTTGAGCATATAGCAGTCAAAGTCATATGGTCCCATTCTAAGTAACCCACTTTGTTTGGAAAGTTAGGTCAAAAGCTGATTCTTTGACATTAAGATTGCTAGCTGCTGGCAAAAGTTATAGAGTGAAAGCAAGGCATTTAGTAGCTACTGCTAATAAAAAACAAACAACAGTACACACTTAGATAGCATTTAGTTTCCAAAGCACAAAAAAGCCTACTTCTTTGCTACTTCTCCTTGCTGCCTGAAATCTACAGGGAGGGATCCAGTGATCATCAAAGCAATAAAGAAGAGAAACCATAGGAAGCATATAGGGAGGTGACAGCTCCTGAACTTAACTTGCTTTTTCTAAACTTCACTTTCTTAGGAAAAAACAGCTTTTGTGGGAAAAAGCCACAGAGATGCAGAGAATTAGAATTGATTAAAATAGGTCTTAAGTAATTCATATCATATACCAACTTCCAAGTAAAAATGTTGCACTTTGACACTGATATTGAAACATTTGTTCACTCGAATGGGCATTTTGGCATGTCCCTGGCATTTGAGGGCCTAACATGGGCATTCAAGCTTGAACATTTAATGTGATGATCATTAGAAATCCCCTGACTTGAACTAAGTATACTTTCTTTATCCCTTTGCACTGATTGTAGACTAATGACACACACACTTGACATGAGGTCCCATAAAATATTATGCTTTAGTAACTTCTGAGTTAAAATGTTATTTGTCTCTTTCCTAAGGCCAAGGTACATTCTTACCATTTGAACATTTAAATTCTTTAAATTTTTTTTAGGTTTTTCTGTAAAACATCCCATTTGGGTTATATCATCACACCCTTGAGGTACAATTCTTTATGCAATAAGTTTTCTATTTATTTTAAGCTAGTAATAGTGCAATATGCAAAAAAGCAGAGTAACCTTAGAGCATTTTTGCAATGATTTAAAGACAACTATCTCCTAAAAGATAGTATTAATAGGTATTTTTATGTGTAAACATTTCTTTAACATTTTCCCTCTTTCCATATACATCCATCTGTTTTAGTCCATTTGTAAGTATGCAACATATTTCTCTTTATAACTGAGTAGCCAAAAAAAAATATTTAAGATTATCTATTCCAACCCCTTCATTTAACAGGCAAACCAAAGCTCAGAAAAGTTATATGACTTGACCAAGATCACAAAGGTAGAAAGTGACAGGAGCAGGATTTGAATCTAGGTCCTCTGAATTCAGTACCCTTTTGTTATTATATTATGAATATCCATATCTAAATATATTATGCATAATTAATGTAAAATGAGCAGCCTCTTTTTTTTTTATTCTTTTGTGTTGATCTCTTAATCTCTTGCTGAGTAACAAATAAGAGATGCAAAAAACCTGTTTAGTTTACCTAATCCCTTCCCTTTTCCAGAAATGTCTTTAGGAGTAGGTCATCTAAGGCTTTCACTAATCTGTATGTTAGTCTCAAGGAAGGGTAACCTTCAAGCACTTCTTGGAAGTCTATTCCATTATTACATCTAGATTTCCACATCAGAAAGCTTTTATACCTGAGGGCAAATAAAATCTTGCTTCAAAAAAGATTATTCCCTTCCAGATGGTAATATATTTTCATTATAAGCCTTATATTTTTCCATCTTTGAGTTTATTATACATCAAATGGGCACTTAATGCCCATTTAATGCCACTGGGCATTTCTACAAGATCAGTAGGTCATTTCTAAGTTCTTGTGTTCCTAATAAGGCCTGTCTTTATGGTGTAACCAATACAACCATGCCACACCCCTTCTAGCCCCAACCTTGGATCCTTAATTAAACCCTCAGTCTTCCAGAGCCTGCAAATGTAAAGCAAGTGCTGAATAGTGTGGGGGCAAAGAAGGGGAGATCATAGAGAATAAGAAGGGAAAGGGAGAAAAGAAGAAATTAATTTCTGTCCAAACAAAGATACTATAATTACCTGGTACTCTGAAGAGAGTAAGATGTGGTCTGCAATGAAAAGAGCCCAATGCGTTACCTCCACAGTTCATCCAAAGACCCTGGAAAATCCAAGTGGCAGTGATAACTGCCGATGCTCTGGTGGTTACTTTCCACTCATTGGACACAGTGGCAGTAATAAGGGCTCCAACTCCACCAACGCCAAACACAAGAGCCAAAATCTGGGCCCAGAACATGTCTCTTAGCCTTCTCGATGGAACTGTGCAAGGCCAAGGAAATGCTTTAGTGGGCTCAGCATGAAGAGGTTCAACATGAGCAAATCACACTTGGATAACTGTTACAGAAAGTTAATGTAAGTATGTGACAGTGTTTCATGCTCCGATGGACTGAAGCTCTGTGGAAATTAAGGATACAGATGGATTTACAGATGGCACAATAAACTTAGCAAAAACGATCTCTCATTTCCCATGCTAACATGAGCAAAAATTTGGAAGATTAGTTTTAAAAGTTTTTATTTTAATTTTTTTCTCGTTAATACTGTAGTTAATGCTTAATTTTCAGTTAGCCTAGAGTTTAACGAACCATGCAGCCAACAGATATCACAAAGTACAAATTCTATTGTAATGCTTAAAATTTATTTAGTCAAATATTTTAAAGGAGAGCAATTATATTGAGCAATTTAGGGGGCATCAACAAGATAACAAAATTCATCCCAAATGTGAATGAAATTTGCTGTTTGATTTTCTTGGACCTTTTATATCTCTATCACTTCCCTTCCTGCAATTCTACTTGAAAAAATGATGGCATAGTTTTTTTTTTTTCCCTTGCTTTTTAGAATCATCATTGGAGGACGGCATGAGACCATATTAAAGGTTCTGAATTTGGAGTCAGAGGAGCTGTGTTCAAGTCCCAGTATTACCATTGCTTTCCAGTGTGACTTCAGGCAAGTTACTTTTCTTTCTAGGCCTCAGTTTTCTTACATGTACAAGGAAAAGTTTAAATGAAAGGATAATCTATAAGGTCTCTTCTAGATCAAAAAATTTTCATATTTCCAATGTGTAATCAAATAATTTGGGAGGAAAGGGGTGCTATAGATTGTGAGCCCTCCTCTGAAAGAAATAAGGTTTCCTCTTCATCAGACATTCCTTAATCACATAACAAATTAAAGATTTACTTGGATTCCAGTATGATTTACATTTAATCTCCCCAAATTGCTGAAAACTTGGAACAGCATTCATTCCTGCCTTTTTCTAGCCCCAAATCAAAAAAAGTACAAAACAGGATTTCAAACGCTTCCTTAAGGAGGAGCAGCAGCTGCTAGTGTCCTTGGTCAGACATATAAATTATAGGAATAAAAGTTCCCTTAGCCCTTTATTTTGCCAGGCTGCTGGAATTTTGAAGTCTTGAAATTTTTAAAAGATGAACTTTTAGTTACATAATTTCAATTGTTACCTTAGATGATAGAACATTTTAAAGGCTCCTTCCTGAAGTAAAAATTATACTTTAGTATGTCGAAAAGCGCATTTGGTTCATGTGGGCATTCCCTCCGCTGGCAGAGTTTGTGACTGGGAAATAGTTTGTCTGAATTGCTACACCTGAAAAATTGTGTGACCCTGGGCAAGTCCCTTTACCTCACTCAGCTTCAGTTTCCTCATCTATAAAGTGGAGATAATAAAAGCACCTACCTCCCAGGGTAGTTTCAAGGATCAAATAAGATAACATAGAAAAAATGAGATAACACATTTGCAAAAGTGCCATATAAATATTAGCTATTATTATTGGTGGTGATGATAATACTAATATAATTGATAATGATAATAATAATTCATCCCTGCTACCAACTCTGTGGTAATGAGCCTCTCTGAACTTAGCCAGACTAGTCCTCATAGTAGAGTACATACTGGAAGCCATGGCAGCTAGGTGGCACAGTGCATAGAGCACCAGGCCTGGTGGAAGACATGAGTTCAAATTTGGCCTCAGAAATTTACTAGCTGTGTGACCCTGGGCAAGTCACTTAACTCTGTTTGCCTCAGTTTCCTTATCTGTAAAATGAGCTGGAGAAGGAAATGTTAAACTACTGCATTATCTTTGCCAAGGAAACCCTAAATGAGGTTACAAAGAGTTGGACATGATTGAAAAATTATTTAACAACAACAGAGGATTTATCAGAGTTTTTGCTCCACTGGAATAAACCCAGGATCAAATTCATTCATTTTATGGAGGTAATGAGTTATGTGGCTAGGTTAGTGGACCAATATACTGAACATAAAACTGCTCCCCCAACTCAGCTACATTTGATAAATAACTAGTCTTTACAAAAATATTGAATAAATTCATCATTTACTATGTAAATACTAAGATATGTAAGTATGGAAATTTAAAATTTGTTTAGATAACTTTTATAGAGTTTGTAAGATACATGAAAATATAAATTATGAATATAACCAACAATAAAGAGAAAAAAATTTGAAGAGAGAAAAAATAATAATTTCGTAAGGACCATATTGTGTCATCAAATAATCATTTAAACTTAATTGCTCTTTTTTTCTGATTTCAATCCATCTGTCTAAAGTTGAGAGTTCTAGCACTAATAAAATCATAGAACTGGAACCAATTGCATGAGACTTTCTCCTTATTGGTAGAGATTGGTTACTGAATACCCAGGACTGAATGCCCAGATATTGGTTACTGAATGCCTGTGTGAGGGATGAGCAGAATTGGTAAGAATGCATAATTCCAACTTCTCTTCAGGTCCATGAAGGGAGAAAGACTCTGGGAAAAAGGCAACATGTAGAGAAGCTAGCAATCTCTATTATCTCCCTATCTCCAACTTGCTGTACTAGAGACTTTGGAGAATTTTCCCTTGAATGAGATCTGGGACTCTCTCTCAGTTGAGTTGAGTAATCTTGCTTCCAGTTAGAAGAGCTCATTTACTTTAGGTACTGTCCAGTATATATCCTCCCACATATACTTTTTTTTCTGGTTTCTGTTTAGATAAATGGCTTTATTTGCTATTTGGTATTGTGTCTCCATTGTGGACACTCATTTAGCATTTGGCGGGATGGGGGTCAAGCCTTGGATATATGGCTTAAGGCCCTCCTTTCTTGTTAAGAAATAATGATCAGAAGTATAGCTTAAACTTTAAAATTACTTCCCCCTAGACCAGGCCTGCAAAACCTCCAGGCCACAAGTTGTGCAGGCCTGCCCTAAACTAACAATATTTAAGGGAGCAGACATATCTAATTCTTTTTTTTTTTTTTTGGCTAGGCAATGGGGTTAAGTGACTTGCTCAGGCTCACACCGCTAGTAAGTGTTATGTGTCTGAGGCCGGATTTTAACTCAGGTCCTCCTGAATCCAGGGCTGGTGCTCTATCCACTGTGCCACCTAGCTGCCCCAGACACATCTAGTTCTAGCCCAGGACTCCCTTTCTGCAAAAAAGAGTGGCGGTAATTTGTCCCCAACTTCCTACCTTCCCTTCTGGTAGAAATCAAAGTTTTCCTTAGAGAACAGTGAAGGGAGGAAACACTAGAAATATTTGTTCTTGCCCTCGTGGTAGCCATATCTAATCAGACTCACTTGGGCACATATAACCTACAGGCCCAACAAAATAACAAAACAATACATATCACCCCTTTACATGAGTAAATAGAAGAAGATACTGAATACAATAAATGTTATGAGTTTACAAAAGCCCAAAAGGAATTCAGAAGAAGAGAATAACAGCCCAATACCTTCAAGCAGAGACTCACAGGGAAAAAAAAAGTATTTTCAACAACAACTACATGAATACCTGGAAGAAATGAAGAAAGATTTTTTTTTATAAATGAAATAGAACTCTGGAAGGAAAAATTGAGAATGGGCACAAATAGCTTATAACAGAGGATGAAAAACTTTATGAAAGCAGTGGACATCCTAAAAAATAGAATGGCACAATCAGAACTCAATTCCATGAAACAACAAGAAATTTTAGAACAAAATTAAAGGAATTATAAGATATCTATTATAAAAAACAACTGACCTGGAAAACATGTCCAGGAAATATAAGTCAACAAGCATTTATTAAGGGCTTACTATGTGCTAAGCACTGGTATATAAAGAAAGGCAAAAACATGGTCACTGTTCTCAAAGAGTTCACATTCTAATAGGGAAGACAACATGCAAACTATGTATCTACATTGCACATACAGTATAATTGAGAGGTAATCTCAGAAGGAAGGCACTAGCAATAATGGGGAATTTGTAGTTGTTTAATGATGTTTAACTGTGACCCCATTTACAGCTTTCTTTGCAAAGATACTGGGAGGTTTGCCATTTCCTTCTCCAGGTCATTTTACAAATGAGGTAAACAGGGTTAAGTGACTTGCCCAGGGTCACAAAGCTAGTAAGTGTACGAGGCTAGATTTGAACTCAGGAAGATAATCTTCCTGACTCCAGGATCTGAAGACAAGAGCTAGAAATGAGATAAATTCTTATATTCTCTGGGAAAACCTTGATTCAGGGAATGTACCATAGAGACCAGATTGAACTCAGTCCATCTGTTCTCAGTTATCATGAGGTTATAGATCAAATTACAGGCTTCCCTGAAACACTGAAATAACATTCAATTAGCCAAGTCTTCCCCATCCTGTACTCGTGCAGTTGATTCTTTTGAACCTAAGTGAAGATCGTTACATTGATTCCTTGTACTGTATTTAATCTTTTTGGTTTGCATCCATCATTTTAGCCTACTGAGTAATTTTGAATCTTGATATATTGGCAATAACTCCAGGAATTATATCATCCACAAATTTGATTTCTATGTCTCCACTGAAGTCATTGGCAACATTTTTTGAAGAGGATATCATTGTGGACAGAACAATATTATGTGTCTATAGAGACTGACCTTCAGGCCATCATTGACTAAGCAATATTCTTTGGGAATATTTGTTCAGCCGTCTGTGATCTACTAGACTGGTATATTCAGTCACATAGAGGTGCAACTAAGTTGATAATGATTATTTTAATGTCCGTATCTCTTTCATGAGGAGATTTGTGTTTTAATGGGTGGATTGTGGTATAGTGTTTTAACCCATTGAAATTAATCTCTATTGCAAGAATTTGAAGCATCAATAACTGGGAATCCCCCTAGTCCCATCTAAATAATCCTTCATAGTTGACTAACCAATTGGTAACTCTTCAAATAACAGACAACAGATTAAAAAGGAACCTACTATTGAATCTATCAGCAGGAACATCAGATCCAGTACATGTCTTGTTACATATTAGCTAACGCAAGTGACAAGAACTGGAACCTTTGGGTCTGTTTCCACATTCTCCCTAGATGAG